TAAAATTGATGAAAGACCAACCACAATGTCCACAGGTAAGTGAAATCCTGCAGAAGACGAAATGGCGGTCTGCAGAACTTCCTGCGTATCGGCTCACAGTCTTGATCTTGGACCAGCATCACTTCAAAGCTGATGATATGTGACGGTCTGATCAGATATTTTAGATTCCTTAGAAAGGATTTTTCTGACATCTCCTCTCCTTGACCAGACACATGAGTCTTTGCATCAGTTTTATGCAGTCCAACATCTTAAAGATTGAAGTGCTTTAAGAGAATCATCTTAAAGCAGAGCTGCATCTCTTGTAGCACCCTCTTCAAACACGTTCCTCCTCTTGGCCTTCATGGTCTGTCTGTGCTCCCAGCCCAAGCGTGTTGAAAAGTCCAAGACTCCTTAATGCTGACACTGCACGCAATCAGCGTCAACCCTGCTCAGAAACCTGTGTGTGCCTGAAACACACGACGGAAGGCATGCTTGTTGGGTATATACTGGGGCGTTCCGATCTGCGGGAATGCACACAAACTGCTGAAAATCTGCCATATAACTGCTTGAACCACCACTTAAAACATCATCTTAACAGAAATGTCACAAACAACTAGAAACCCTTGAAGGCCCTGGCAAATACACAGGTAACAGAAAACACTGGTGACCGAAGACTTAAAATCCTCATTTGGGAGTTTTAAGAACTTGATATACAAACTCCCTTTCCCTGAATGAAGAACACTGATAATCATTGCAAGAAAAATTAATTTTAGGAGGAGGCCTGAAACACAGGAACGCAGCTGCTGTTTTTCTCAGCAGAGGACAGTGGGAAGTAGAATCTAGGATGTGATACAAAAGGAGGTGCAAAAGGTATCGTTAGTCAAACACATGAGCTCGTATTCTACTTCCAACACTTAGTGTGGATAAAATGAGCCCTGGATCTTCTGGCAAAGATCTACAAGTCTATACTCTGCCTAAATGAACAGCTTGGATCACAAGTCTATTCCATGCCCTTCCCAAAACTCTCTTCTCCTCACCTACCATTTCTCCTCATGACATGTAGAATCACAGAACAGGTTGGGTGGGAAGGGATCTTTCAAGGCCATCTAGTCCAACCCCCTGCAGCGAGCAGGGACATCCCCAACCAGAGCAGGGTGCTCAGAGCCCCGTCCAGCCTGGCCTGGGGGGTGTCCAGGGATGGGGCATCCACCACCTCTCTGGGCAACCTGGGCCAGGGTTTCACCATCCTCCTTGGGAAAAATGTCTTCCTTGGATCTAGTCTAAATTTGCTCTCTTTTAGTTTAAAACCATCACCCCTTGTCCTACGCAATAGGCCCTGCTAAAGAGTCTGTCCCCATCTTTCTCTTAAGCCCCCTTTAAGCCCTGGCAGCTGCAGGAAGGTCTCCCCGGAGCCTTCTCTGCTCCAGGCTGAGCCCCCCCAGCTCCCCCAGCCTGTCCTCCCAGCAGAGCTGTTCCAGCCCTCGGAGCGTTGCTGGGGCCTCCTCTGGCCCCGCTCCAGCAGGTCCATGTCTCTCCTGTGCCGAGGGCTCCAGAGCTGGATGGAGCACTCTGGTAGGAGACTCTGGTCCTCACTATTGCCTTGAGAACATGCCAGTGCGCCTCAGCAGGCAGCTTTGAGGTAGCAAAATCCAGAAGAAAACCAAGAAGCCACCCTCTGTGGAAGCAGGAGGAGCCAGGAACACACCGGCTCTACAGGGTCCCACCAAACCTCTTCTCACCCACCTTCTTGCCTCCTACCACAGTCTCTTGTCCCAGGAGAAGTGGCTCAGCTGAAGGTGACGTCAGTACACCTACGCCTCAAACATCTCCACAAAAAGGCACCACTGGACAAGAATGCTGCCTATCAAAAACCAACAAGACTTATCCTATTTGTATTTTGGATGCTTTAAAGTTCACTTTCAGAGAGCAGCCATGCAAGGTAGGATTAGAGTCATATTGGAGGGTAAAAATAAATGTTAGGCACTCTCATTTATCCTCCTGTGCAGGGCATGGTTCTGGGAGGGAGACTGAATCGGTTACAGAGCGCACACAGCACTCGGACGCAGCCCAGTCAGCCTGGAGTGTGTTTTATGACTGTGTTATAAACCCTTGAAAACCAGCTTTGATAAATGAAAATGCTGACACAGCCTTCAGTGTAGCGACAGCCATGTCGCTGGTTTAAATTGAACTTGCTTTGTCAACCCAAGAGCACTTAAATAAAACGTCTAAAAACCTCACGAAAACACACAAACTATTTGCAATGAAACACTTTTAAACAGTTTTACAGATTATGTATTAAATTGAATTAACTTCAAAAAATCCTGAAGAAAGACAAACTCTAAAAAAAAAAAAAGCTAGCAGCATTTCTTCTTTTTTTATTTTTTTTTTTAATTTTTGGCAAAGGGAAGACTGAGCATCCTCAGACACCTCTTATTTCAAAAGGAACAAGGACACTAACCAACTCTCAAAACTTACGTGGTACCCACATCTAATACTTTTTACACTCTGCCAGCAAGTTTTTTGGGGCAGTTTTCCTAACCTTCAAAAGTAACAGTTCGGTTTCCCATCACACATACCTCTGCAGCAAAGAAATTCAAGACAATTCAAAGGCTCAGAAGAATATTGAAGAAAATGAGAAGATTTACTTAGCTGCTATTTTGTATTATACGTCAGAAGAGCCCTTGCTAATTTGGTCCCACCTGCCATTTCTTTTAAATTAATGTGCTATAACTGTGCTACCTTGAAGTTGTAGGGATTGGAGTATTGCACTACAAAGTGGAGATGATTTTGAAATCCTACAGCAAATGCTAACTTCCCTTTTTAACAGTTCCATCAACAAGAGCCTGGGTGTCTCCACTACCAATCCCCATGTCAATACAGTGTTACTCTAATGACAGTGACCTTGTGTGGCTCTTTGAGCATCTTCTTCACCTTTTTTGAGACATTTTTCTAAGCCACTGTCCTTGCTTTCATCATTTAACACATCACTCAAACCACTTCAATAAAACAGTGATCATGTTGAAGAGAGGTCCCGGAGGACCAGATGACATACCAATTAACAAAGCGTACAAACCAAGTTGTTTTTTGTACATCTGGTTCAGAAGACATTCGTGGAAAGTGAGAGAGAGGGAAAAACAAAGTTGAGAAGGTTTAAGAGAGGAGAGTAAATGCAAATGAAATGAGTTTTCCTAATGCTGGCTAATATAATGTGAAATTCATCCTTCAAATCAAATTCACGATCAGCCAGGTTACCTACTAGTAATCATAAACTAAATTCCAAATGTCTTAGTCTACGTGGTAAATCATCATATAGCTGCCACCCATCAAAATGCATCTTTTATTCAGCAAAGGAACCAGTAAATTGCTCTATGGGACTTGCCCTGTAGGACTGCTGTATTCACACTGCTCTATTCCACCATGAATCGGGGAGAACACCACAGTAAAGTCTTAATGTAATACAATCTCATTTTAGCCCTTTGTTGGCTAGATTCATTTACAGAGTGTGTATGTTCTGTATCTCTCCCAAAATTGTGAGGGCTCTCCAGCATCACAAACCATTAAAATTTGCAGTAAAACAAATTAAGAGAACTGCAATCCCTGTGATGCCTTAAAGTGTTATTATAATTCAGAGTTAGCTTCAGCCAGACTCTGGAAAAGATTTACAAGATTTGAACGCAATGATTCAGCATTAAGTATTTGCATTTTGGTTAAAACTGATTTGACAATGAATTCATTGTTTGAAAACGTAACACTAGTCTTGGTTAACCGTCAGGCTACAAAATGTGAAATTTGCCTAGATGCAGCACCAAGACTACTTAACTTCTATCTAATCTTCTGCTAAAAATATCAGTTGTGCTTCACCAAAAGGTGTATTCAGCTTCACCTTAATGATACTATATTATACCAGAAGAGAAGGGAAGGGCACCTACATTTTTCAGTTAGTCGTATCACGCCTTTGTCAGGCTATGCAAGATGACGCAAGTCATCAGTGGCTTGAATGAACTGTTGCTAAAGGAAGAAACAACTGCTCCAAGCAGGGAGAAGTTCTTTCACAGGACTTGAAAAACTCTCCGGCGAGCTTATTGCTCAAGCTGTCAAGGCTACAAGGGTTTCCAGCCATAGCTGGCTTGTCTGTGGCCAAGGAAGGCCAGCGTGAAACGGTTACGTGAATCTTTCTGCCACCACCAGACCAGAGCTACCTGTCCCTTCTCCCAGACCAGACCAAGCCAGATCTGATTTTACTGGTCAGGATGTTATCGTAACACAGGCATTTCTACCCAGCTTATGCACTCTAGGTTATCTTTCCTATAAACAATCATCCATTTTTATAAAGTCATTAAATATATGTTTCTTAAAACATCCGATGAAACCTAAGCTGGAAAAACCCACCTTTTTCCTGAATCAAAACTGACCTTGTTCTGACTAAACCTGCAGAAAGCATGGCTTCTCCTGCATTTACTGCCACATTCCCTTTGAACTGCTTCATTTTCCCCGGCTTGAACCTATGTTTGTGAGAAATCTTTCTAAAAGCCCCTATGAACACTTACATTCCAACACTTCATGTAATCACGCAGGGAGAGGCTCATCCCATCGTGCAAGTATTTCTGCAAAAGATTTTGCAAGGCCATTAACCAGCTCAAAACCTTGAATCCGCATAATGCTATTTTAACCCTAATAACAGCCCACTCTACCCTGGCCTGTGAACACAGAAATACCATCATCTTCAAGCCCAGAGGTGTTGAAAGGATGCAGAGCCATCCATGCACCAGGCCCTACTTCTTACTCTTGTACGGAGTTTTATTAGAGGGTTTAAGACTGTTACATGGTTTGCACAGAGGCTTTTTCTACCTAACCAGAATGAACGCAGTAGGAACAAACCCATTCTAAATACAGCCAAGAAATTCAGCTATTGCCAATTTGTTAAAAAGCATGCATATATAAAAGAGTACACAAAGACTACATTAAAATATTTGGATGTTTGATTCTTGCAACGTGCACATGAATGACAGATATTTGCATACCTCCATGAAGGAAATCCCTAGACTCCAAACGTCCGAATGAATCCCGTACTGTTCTCCTGAGATCCGCTCAGGCTGTAAAGAGACGGAAAGAAACATCTTCTTGAGCCTAGCAAACACACACACATACTAGTTCCACAAAAGCTAGCCCAGGGCAAACAAATCAACGAGAAAATGCAAAGAAGCTTAAAGCTCACCAGCTAACCTGGCAGAGCACAATTCCACTCGTCAAACACGGCTTATTTATTTATTTTTGCCTCTTCTGCAAGAGCAGACGACTCAGTTATGCTCAGACTTGTGGCCACGCATTGCTACGCCCCTTGTAAAGTTGGCCTTGGCGTTTGCGTTCGGGCTGTTCTACCCGACAAAAAAAGTCAATGGCTTGCACATGAGCAGCGAGGCGCGAGGTCAAGTTGTGAGAGTCCAACAGCGCATACATCCACCGCTAAGCCCAGGCGCGGCAGCAAGGTACGCCAGGAAAACAGGCTCCTAACATTGAGTCAAGGGGCTGGGGAGCAACTACGGTTTAGAAAGCAAAGTTATTGAAGCCAAAAGAATCAATGAAGTCACATGCCAACAATTTTATTTTATATACTTCCTTAATTTCATTTTTGACCTATAGAAAAAAAGATTTCACTCCAAACTATTAATAGCAAGTTTAATGCCTCATGAAATAGAATGCTGTAAAATGTAACTGCTAGTTTTTACTTGAAAGCTACAATTTAAGCATTTCCAAGGTCAAGTACAGCATGAAATGTAACAATAAAAGGCTCCATGAGACTTCTCTCCCCACTGTGCTGTTAATGCACCTGTCTAGCCCAACCACCTACGAAGCACTAGCTGTATTTTTAGTCTTTAATAATCCAGAGACCTTTTTTAGAAAACAAACTCCCAAATTAGTGCCAGTCCAATGTGTTTTCGGATGTTTACTCCGCGCTGCTAATCCCAGGTCAAGAGCTTTTATCGCAGCATGAATGTTAAGTAAAAAACACAGTGCTGCCCACATTATCTTTAAGGACAGCCTTCCACAATTGCCATAACCTAAAAAAACACCCCAGAATGTAACTGCAACAAAATCTTTTTGACTGAGCCACACTTATTTTAAGCCGAACAGTGATCCAAAAATCTTTTTTTTTTTTTTTTAAAGGTCATTAGGGCAAGCCTTCATTAAGTATAGTTAAGCCTAGGTCAGGAATCGTTTGCAAAAGCATCATACAGGGATACGATTTTTAAGCATCTTTTTGTACTGACAAAGACACACAGCCAAAAACGTACATCGACAGATACGTCTGCCTTCGGAACATGCCATGGTATCGGCTCCCCCGGCCAAGCGCGTTTTGTTACCGGCAGACACCGTACCCGGGGCAAGACGAAAACGCCCGCGGATCGTTTTAGTGCAGATGAGACGCTGGCCTTTCCTGAGCCGCCAAATTAGACGCGCAGTTCACACTGAGCAATATTAAATTGTTTATTCTTCCGTTATAACAGCTCAGGTGTTACCAGCAAGCTGTATTTAGAAATTATGTATTCACGGAAGACAGCGGCAAGTAAATAATTTGCACGTTTCAACAAAAAAATCTAGTTGCATGAATTTAGGAGTATGGAAAAGAAGATGAAAATAAGAATAACACATGCATAAAGTAAAGTGTGCAACACAGAGATCATCTTAAGCATACACAGCTCAAAAATATTTTCTTTTAAGAATTTCTAAAACAGGTTACTTTTTTCATCCAAAATTTTTTTCTGTATTCAGAGGTGATAAAATCATTTTACAGAAAATGTATTTTTGTTGGAAATTTTCATTTCTCAGTCAGAAAGCTTTTTTACTTGTTCAGTTTAAACCTCGATTTTTTTAATGGTTTTTAATTCACTTACAGTCCGCCAAGTAGCTAGATAAAAGCTTATGACCTTCGTTATTTTTTGATGACTAGACTATAAATTTGATGACGACAAATGACTCATTCAGCAAGCAAAACAATTTTAACACAGGAAATCAGATGAAGTACATTTTAGCTTAAACTTATCCTTTTCAATTAATAGATGAATGCATCACATTCATCCATAAACAATAAGAAAAAAAAAGTAATTTATTTAAAGTACACCGGGGAAAGAGAACAGTAGTCTTGATTTGTACACTAAAAGCATAATGCAACTTAATTCTCAGACCTGCTTAAGACCACGCTAAGAGTAACAGCTGAGTTGGAAAAGTTGATTAATTTGAAGCCGTTTATTTGTCTGAATTGCTGTATTCCAGTTCTTTTAGAAAACGGAGGCACAGAAATCAGCAGGCTTTACTAGCGAAAGTGATAATACCTAAGACCAGATTTTTTTTCTCTTTTTTTTTCCCCAAAAAACGTTTTTCTGCACATAATACTCTGATGACATAGGAAAGCCCAAGTCTTTCTAGGATGGTGACGTGAGTGTTTCAGAAGCCACATAATGAGTACGCCTTGGCTAGAAAAGCACTTAGCAAATAAATGGACACGCTGGTCTGCTTTCTTCTTAAAAGAAAGTAAGAAAAAATACCTGAAAGCGACTAAAGGTCATGGATTTCTCCTCTTTTCTGAGGTTTGAAAAATACAAGTATCAAGCCCTGTGCATTGTTTACACTTTTGTTTTTTTTTCAAACAAGCTGAACACCTATTTTTTCCTCATTAATATTATGGCATAAGGAGTTTGCTAAAAGAATTTTAGTGGCCAAATTTAAAAGACAACAGTTAATATACCGCTCTAAACTGAAGCATTTAAGTTTTTGTAGCTGTTAAATGGAGAACTAAGGTTATTCACATCGATCACATGGGAAATACACACTAACTTTTGTGGCTTCCTTTCAGACTGGCTCTCGTCACCATATTCACCTCCGTGACATGAACACCACACGCCAGTTGTCGCGCCAGCTCGAACCGCTAAACCCAAACCTCACCTCCTAGCTAACATTCCTCCAAATGGTCCATCTCCAGCAACGCGTTACTGTGACCGAAAACTGACGGGAATTTATGCTTTAACGTAGAGAAACAGGACAGAAGTCATCTCGTCATAACAAGCATTCTGACCAAAATTTATGTAGAAAAGCGAAGCGTACCGATGACTTGGTACGTACGGTACGCACCTTACAAACATGCAATTTAACGCCCTAACGTTATTAGTCCAAATATTTTTAGCTTCGAATTTCCATGGCAGCTTCACATGGGAAACACCCGCAGAGGTGTTTAAGTATCAAGAAGTCGACGAGACCTCTGCAGAGGTTTAAAAGCTTTGCTGAACTGCAGGCTCGGAGCAGCAGTCCCCAAGCTGTGGACAGTATCGGACCCTCAGCGGTCTGCAAAGAGCCGCCGGCTATCGGTGGAAAACTCTTTTGTTACCGTCGAACCGGCTCTCTTCTTTGTTCCCAGCTGTTACAACGCAGTAAAGGCAACTAAAAATACATGAAAGAAACACTTTTCCAATATCACTCTTCCATATCAGCAAGAAGAGCAGTCGTCAGAGAGCTGGCAGGCGAGCAGATAGGAGGGGAGCGGGTCTGCGAGGCAGTAAAAGGGAGCTGTTTCCTGGCACACACAATTAAGACACAGCTTATGCTGGGGATGGGGAGAGATGAAGTTTGAGAACTGATTTCGAGTATATCCTGCATTACACAGAACAAGACTGTGAACAAATACTTCTATTTAAACGTTGTTCCTGCATAAATCCACTTACCGCCATATAAGCATTTGTTCCAACATACGTCTTGGCTATAGAATTCACCAGCTATCAGACAAAACAGTCTGTTAGAACAATATAAAGATAATGTGGAAATAAAATGGGCAATTATTCCTCATTTAACCTACAATCATCATTCCTATAAATCAACTAAAAATTATGTAAAAGGGAACAAATTTATCTGCAAAGGCATTAAAAATGATTAAATCTCTCTTTTGTTGGGAATGAGAGCTCCAATTTAAACAAGCGCTACATTACAGTTTATGGCAGATAACCTTAAACAATTCTGTTAAACAGGATGCTTATCGCTTTAGTACCCCAAACTAGTCTGATATAAAAAGTCAATTTGAAGTAGGATTGAACGCACTCATTTTTCAGTCAGCTGGCTCAAGATGTGAATAAAGCCACATTCATCACTTGAATGCAATGAGCACTAAATACGCTGGAGGGACAACAGGCTCTGACAACTTATAATACAAGGCTGACCTTCTCTTTGGTCCTCGTGTTTGGCTGAGAGTAAAGGTGCTGAAATTCAAATCAACATCACAGCAAGCTCATGGGTCACTATCAGAGAAGTTCTCCAGGGAGGCCCAAAATGGAAATTAATTAAAATTTGTGCTGCACATTGTAAAAGCCCACCACTATTGTTACTCCCAATATTAATTTTTATTGTGGGCCAGTTGGGCTCCCCAGACACGTCTCTCGTTCTGCCCTCCCTTTTGTCTGGCCAAAACGCTTTCATATCAAAGCTGCATATCAATGAAGTTTGCTATTCGTAAGTAGTAATTACAATATCAGCAGTTTTTACTGTCATTAAACAATGAACAATCATATTCAGATGAAGAAAAGTCGCCCAGAGATTAAAAATGAATAGGGCTCTCCCAGCAGAGGGGAGCTGGCTGTGGGGCTGTCTGTCTGGCAGCCGGGTGATCTGGACATCAGAAAGCGCGCGGGCAGATAGCTGAAGGGGGAATTACCTGAGTGCTCACCCCGAAGTCACACAGCTTCACCTGGCCTCGCGTGTTCACCAACATATTAGACGGCTTCACATCTGTTGAGGGAACAAAACTGGATTTAAGCTACGTTATCCTAGGGACGCGTCGTACGGACAGAGAGCGTGACGAATATCGGCACGGTGGATTTTAATAGAAAATATTTCAAAGACGTATTTCAAAGGCAACCTCTGGTTTGTAACTGTCAGTAGCACAGATAGCATTATACCTGTACCTCTCAAATACTAATAATCCCTGTTATTAAATCACAGAATCATTTAGGCTGGAAAAGACCCTTAAGATCATCGAGTCTGAATCTGCAGGTGACACCAACCTGGGAGGGACAGCAAGTGCACTGAAGGATAGGACCTAGAATTCAAAGCGATCTTGACAAATTGGAAAATCGGACTGAAAATATCAGATTAAATTCAACAGGGACAAATGGAAGCACTCCGTTTAGACAGGGATTAATCAACTGCATAAATATAGGAGGAAACAACTGCCTGGAGCGTAGGCTGGAGCAGGTCTGCAAAAAAGGGTCTGCGGATCACGGCAGGACGTGGAAATGACAGAGAGGGAACAAACTCTGCCGCTGGACAATTCAGGAACAAGCCGAAAGCAACGGTGCAGAGAGTGAAGCCTGTTTTCGTACCAGGGGTAGCCGGGCTGACCTTTTAAGGTTCATCCCAGCCCCGCGACTTCGTACTCTAACACTGCAATTAACCCTGCCTGCCTCTTCTCCAACAGCCCTCACGTCACTCTGTGCAGCGACAAGGGCAGAATTTAATATTCCATAAAAATCACAAACACAGAGTATCCCATCCAAACACCTGGATATAGGAACACGGGCAAAACACACGGCACCAGCACATTCGAGCCTCCTGCGGCTGCAGGAACACGTGCAGTCAGCCTTGCTCTCGCGCACACCGTTGTTCAAAGCTACTGGCTTCCGCCGCCGCGGCTCCTACCGCGTAAAACGGCTCCGACCTCACGGCTTCAGAGCTTTTACAGAGGTTAACCACCAGCAACATCTTAAAATGATTACTAAACCTGCTCCAGCAAATACAACATCAACGTACATCGTAAAGGCAGGTGGTCGGTGCAAAGGTCTTGATGCTGACCCCCTCTGACGTCAGAAGAAGTCGGTACGCTTCTGCCGCACGCTGCAAAAGCGACGTGTGAATAAACTGCTGCACACCCAGCCTGACTGCAGCGCGGGCGACACGGAGCATCCCTCTGTGCCAGGGACGCCAGTCGGAAAGCGTAACGTGCGCCTTACGGCCTGGCTTAAACTTGGGAAGATTAGAGCACAGTGGCTTTGCCTAATCACTGCTTTCTTCTGTCAAAATGGATTAAAAGCAATAGCTTGTATCTCTGCCTTCTTTAAAAGCGAGCACTAGTTGGGTGCAGATGGATGAAACCCAACTAGAAAAGAAGCTAATTTTGTTTATCGTTAAGTTTGCCTTTGTTTAGCAGATGTTTTCTGGTACCACAGTAGCTTGCTTAATTCGTCTCTGTAATGCAGAAATGTATAACCTCAATTAACAAGCTGATTAAATGCTTTCCTATATTTGAGCTAAAAATCCCATTTAAAACCGGGAAGCATTCAACAGTACGTCATATAGCTTAAGTGGATCGGTGTGTTTTAAGTTAGGTATCAATACTGCCGATACATTTTGCAATTTCCCCCCAAAGCCAGAAGAAAAATCCGTCACGAGTGCCTCCATCATGTTACGGCATCGACAGACTCAGTTTGCATATCGTGATCTCCATTTCACCTTCAGGACTTCAATCCGTGTGCTGCATTTTTGATAGATTTTTACCTATTTCTACCTAACGGTTAGACTCGATGATCTTAAAGCTCTTTTCCGACCTAAACGATTCTAGGATTCTATTCCCCTGCCTGAGGCGAAGAGACAAAACACCGCTAGCAGCCACAGAACCTCCCACACACTTCCCAACAACATTTTAGGAATATTTTTTCTAACGAAAACTTCAGGGAGACTCAAGTATTTGCTTACGGCAACCCGCTAAGCAGCACACTCCTCTGGTGTCCAGTCACTCTGCTAAATCTAAGGCGACATGCCGAGTGCATCAGCAGGCTCTACCCCGAATCCCGAGAAGAACAGCAAGTTGCAGAGTAATCCTGTTTAACCTTCTTTCTAAAAATACGGCAGCCAACAGAGCTACTTCGTTACTAGGCTTGCGCTGAACGGTAATGAACTAAACAGCAGATGCAATTACACAGACAGAAAACACTGAAAATACTCCACAACTCCGGCAGCCGACGGTACTAACACTCTTAGAAGAAAACCGTGGGATAACGAGCGGCTCTTGCTTTTAATTGTAAAGGATGTAACAGAAATAAATAATAACCACATGGACAAGAGGAACATTTTGGTGCAGTAGGGCTGGAAATAGGTTTGTGGGATCAGGCCCGGATGAACGTCGTTCTTTTTTAACAAAGCAAAAACCCTTTCACCCCGAGTGAAGGCAGAAAGAAGTTCCAAGCGTGAAACGCTACGACCTCACAGAAAGTGATGATGAGGCAACATGCACATAGCCAAATTTTCTTTCTGTAAGGACTCAACCACGTCCTGAGTTCAGAGGAAGAGGCAGGATGTTCTCCAAGCTCACAAGTCCTCGTTCCCTGAACACGACCCACCAGAGGAAACCGCCACACCACGTCTGTCCCCGTCCCCCCAGGGCCACCCAGCTCCCACCAAGGAAGAGCCAAGGCTCTATCCAGCCATCACCTCGTGTCTCTGGGGATCTGCAGACCCCATCTCCCCTTCCCTGCTACCATGTGGGACGTGACAGTAAGTCGATATAATTAAAAAAACCACACCTGTCATTCATTAAGCATCGCTTGATCCTGAAATCTTTCCACAAACAGAACTTAAAAAAGAAAAACAAACCACCAAAAAACCCTAGAAGAAGAAAAGCCAGCAGCCAGCAGCTCATTAAGGAAGGGAGGCTTCTGCAGGTTGGGGACTCTACGGAGCAAGCTGCAGCCAAACAGGCACTGCTAAGAGCGACTACTATCCGTCCTCGCAGCAGAATTTAAATAGCACCACAAATGGGGGATTTCAGCAAGTATTTGCTATGAATGCCAACGGTTGTGCTGATTTCCCCAAGAAAAAAGGAAGTGACAACCCTAGACAAAAACGTCACTTCACAAAACATCTCATGTTGAAAGTGGGGAGAAAAATCACCCAAACAGTAAATTAGCCTTTTCGTTTCATAAACCGCTTCAGTTAATGGGTTAAACATTTTTTGGTTTTGGAAAACAAATGTGCATAAATAATGTTCTGCACCATCTGCTTGTGATTAATATTACTGTTTAGAAGTGAAAGAATTTAAACAAGAGCCAAAAGGGGTCATTATGCTCCCATTACCAGTGCGTGCTTAATACAAATGATTTCTGTGAAGCATCATTATAGAGGATGAACAAGTCCTCTTTATGATATATCTGCTTAAGTCATTTCACCTCTCTGCAAACAAATGGGACCTCCAAGCTCTTATTTACCAGTAAACAGAACTGTCAGAGGTTCAGCTTTTTGAACACCAAACACTTCCGTCATCTTGTTTTATTAAAAAGCAAACAGATTAATGATTGTGGGGAAAAAAAAAAAACCACCCAGATTTTAAAAAGCCATCTTTTAAAAATACACAACCGCAATACGCCAGGTTCAAGGGAGACAAGAGGTACAAAAGCACAGTTTTAGCTGCAGACATCTCACAGACCATTACTGTTAACAAAGTGAAGCTGCTGGAAGAATCAAAATATTTTCTTGCCGTAACGACCTCATCAACATGCTTTTTGCAGAGGCCAGGCTTTTTTTTTTTAAAGACACCCAAGTGGTTCATGAGTGGGCATGTATGTGTTTAGCTATACATACAGAAACGCAACCATGTTATGTATGTATGTGTATACACACATACACACGCCCTAGTATTTTTGTTCGTGCTTCATTATCCATGGCAGTAATGCCAATTAATTCTCACAAAGCTAAAAAAGCAGGGGGGGAAAAGTCAAATACGCTGCTCTGGTCGTCTTTGGTGAAATCCTCAGCAAACTATGGCTCCTGCTGAGAAGACGGGAACGCCTGTCCCTACCAACCAGCACCCCTCTGCTCCAGTTAGCTCGACCTCGCACACCACAAACCACAAAACACTTCCAAAAACTCTGTCACAAATTTAAAACCTAGTCAGAAACCAAGGTCCCCGAAGAGTGCAATACACGCTGGCCCCCAGTACGCAGTCACGCATACAAATACAGATCAGTACAATTAAACACAAGCAGGTAACATTTATTTCATGCTTTTCCTTTAATAAAGAGGTGCGAACAGAGGAAAACATAGCAGATAAAATTCATACGGTCTATACTTATTCTTGAACTTAACAGATTTTGGTTTGTCTTTATACAAACTTTGACTTTGTACATGATTAGACTTGTTTAATTGCTAATTCTGTTTTAAATCTAAGTTAATTTCTCATTACCCTTCCATTTCTACTTCTTATCCTCTGGGGAAAAGAGCACACTTATCATTGGGACATTCTCACATCTTCCAAAGAAGTGGGGTAGGTGTTAATCTTATGTTTATGTTTGATGTGGGTGTGATGACTACGACTACAGCTTTGGGTTTATTAATATGCACGGCTATCACCTCATTAGTTGCAAGGTTTGTTTTGAAGTTAAGCTGTAATATTTGCTGAAATGTCTGATCTGGAATAAAAGACTTGCTCATTGTTTGTTTCCTTTGCTTTAATCCGTGCTCTAGTCACAAACCGTTGTTTGCTGCACTGCCTTACACAGCTTCTTCACGATGATCGCTTCTCCCCCTTCGTTATCACCGCGGCGGACATTCTTGACTCCTTAGCCTTGGCGAGCTTCCCGCGTGCTCTGCTCTACATCTGACAGCAAGGCAGTCAGGGTTAAATTTTCTTTCATTCACCTCTGATGCATTAAAATCAGCAGACAGCTGAAGGAGATAACTCTGAGAAACAGGCATCTTCCTTGCACTGTATTACTCTGCATCCATTTTTAAGATAGAGAAGTACACACACACGGTCTGTATCTTAAAAATGGGTGCGGAGTAACACTGAAAACCAATCCTTTGAGGAAGCTCTGCTGAAGCCTGGAATGCTAGCTATCCCCTCCGTGGCATTCTGCAGTGCTCTTCTCACCTTGGTCAACCTGGCAACAAGCCAAGGCCAGAAAAACCTGAAGTGTGATGAAAAAATCAGTTTCTCCGCTTTTCTTTAGACCATAGCAAGGACCATACATAATTCATCAAAAACTCAGAGCTGCTCTTCAATCAAGGCAATGAAACCCATACGGAAGGGGAGATTTTGTTTTCCTGGCAAAGCAAAAATCAGCCTCAGGTTCCAAATTTACAGCAAACAACAATAACATGTTACAGTTAGAGTATTTATGTTTGACCACAACGCCCTCTCCAAATCACATTCAGTAGGTGGCCAGAATCTTTAACGAAAAAATTAAAAAAAAAAAAAAAAAAATTCCAAACCTGCTTTTTCTTTTCAGGTGTTACAAAAGCACGGCAAAGACTGCATAGCCTATACGTAGCAATACCCAGCCACGATGCTCCCACTGCTTTTTCTTTTGTATCTATTCTTACAATCGCTGTGGCAGCTCTGGTATCCGGACTGCTCATCCTCTCGCTGAGAGCGGACGGAGCTGATAAATCTCTGCACCTGGCAACATTCAGGCTAGTAGGTGAAATGTTTAAACCACCAACAGAAATGAAGCCTCCTTGGTAACCTGCGTCTGCACCGACTTGGTCACAGACTCTGGGTTATTTCCGTTCTTCTAATCCAGCGGCAGCCTCGGTCACGCACCAGCAGCCTTAGCGTTTCACTCGCCCTCTAATCAGGGGTGACGAAGCCAAGTCCTTACTTGATCTCTACTCACTCTTCTGGACACGGCCCTCTTGCTCCCAGCCAGGAGAGAGCCCGTGCTCTCACGTCAGAGCCATCGCCCAGGCGCGAGGTGCTGCGAGACCGAGGAGGACTTGAAGCCCGCGCCCTGTTGCGCAGCCGCTCGCTGCGCCGTTCCACAAAGGCAGGCTCGCTCTCCTCCTCCACTACAAGCTCTCCACAAAAGCCTGAGGACAGTCTGAGCCTAGGCTCCAAGGAGGAGCAGGACCTCAATACGTACTGGTAATTAGAGTTTCCTACCGGCTTGTTCTCCCCGCTCAGCGCAGATTTCGCGATGACTCTCCAGAGGCGCGCGACGCCTCGCGCTGATCACGCCAGGCCACCGGGCGCCCGACCCGGGCGTTTCTCATCCCCTTGCCGGAGCCTCGCTGCTCCTTCTCAGCCACTCCGCAGCCAGAAGAAACCGTCTTACCTATTCGGTTTGCAACTTAGAATTTTCTACGTGCCTCTCTACTTTACACTGCTCTTTCAATCACAAACGATGCCGGTTACTGCACGCTCCAACTGTGCACACGGGCTGAGTGAGCAGATGGGTTAAATTAAACAGTATTGTTAGCAACATCAGGAACCAGAGCGGTTACTTTCAGACACTTTAGAAACATTACAAATGTAATGAGTTTCTCTTTTTTTTTTGGAGGGGGGTGTGTGGTAGCGGTGGTGTAGGGGGAAGGGCTTCTTTGTTCTTTAAACAGCATTTTCCACTCT